CCTCTGGAAATTCTGATTGAGCTTCATACATTTCTTTAAATTTTTTGGTCTTACAGGATCCCCCACCCCCCAGGAAATTCCATTCCCTTCTGTGGGGGAATTATCGATATTTTCTAGAACTGAATAATCTGTATTATAAAGACAACTTTAAGATGTCCATTAATTGATGATCCACATTGATACAAGAAGTCTTAAAGGAGAAGTCTATAACTTAAGGTTGTCTATACTTACTGATCGAGCCAGCAGAACCAATACTGGCAGTAGCATCAGACTCCAGAGCTTGAAACACTTCAAAGTCAGACTTCTTTACATTAATGACATTGTTTCTGCCCCCAAAATTGTCGTTTGTGGTTGGCTGTTAGGAACAATACAACATTTTAGTTTCTGAATGATTTTTTTCACATCAGAATTTAACTGATTGATAACCCTTTATTTGCAGAACATGTACTTTCAGTGATATCAATCTTTAACTGATAATAATATTATCTGGTCAAAAGTAACAAATAAAAAAGAGAATAATAGTGTAGCAATCTTTGGCAAGGTGCTCTGCAAGGAAAATAGAAAATTCTGCAATTGAAAAGGCAAAGTTCTACTAACAATACAAAGGAAAGTCTTGAAAATATATCCTAGGTGAACTTTTTTTTTTACCATCTACAAGTTTTTCATCTCAAAGTTTCATTACAAAAATTGTTAGTCTTTTAATCAGAATATCCCAATGTTGCTGAGTGAATATAATGAATGGTATACTACGTGCAAAATACTACAATAAAGTTTGTTTTTCTTCAGTCAATCCATGCAATTCTTATAATATGTTTGTAAGTAGTATGAGTGTAGTATTAGAACTACATGTAGCTGGCAATGTGGACTGATCTGGGGATGTCATTAGAAACAGCACCGTGAAAAAAACAACTGTACAGTATTTTATGTACATCAAAAGACTCCCATATCTTGGCTGGTTTGTTGCAATGTTGTACGTGTATCAGCTGGTTTGACTTACTCACAATAAGGTTAAAAGCAAGAATACCAAATATTGACTGATTGGGATAAACTCTAGGATGACATCACATGTATAATTATTTCTGTTTATAAATAGTACTTACAGCATTTGGGTCATGAATCCAGCGGCCATCAACACAAAACTTGTACTCATGCTCGCCTTCAGGCAGCTCAATTATTGTTGAGAATTCCCCTTGGCTAGGCAAACAAAAAAATCATTGTACAGTATTCCACTTAATAAAGAATGTAATATTCAACTAATGAATAAAATTGAAGTTTAAATTAGGACTATGCATGTAGCAAAGACAAGATTTTTCAATTGGTTTCATTGATCCTGACTCTCACAACTTTTTCAGTGAACTGGAACCAAGCTTAGCAAATGTAAACTACCGGTAGTTCATTTGATTGAATTGGATTGAACTTTTGTAATTTCTGGCACTTTTCCAACCATTTGTGATTGAACAGTTAGACCAGTGTTTAACAAACCTTCCAGTACCAGGCAAACAAACCATATTCACTGTTTTCAGTACCGGTAGTTGTGGTTGAAATGGCTGGGTCCAACACAACAACAAACTTCATGTACTGCTAACACATTAACCACAAAATTATGCTAATAAGTTTGTTTCTTAAATTGGTAATACCTCACATGCAATTTAACTTTAGAATCATTTGATTATAGAGTGACTGTCAACAAAAGATCAAAGTTCCAAGGCTAGATCTCTGTTAATGGCTTTGTCATCAGAATGTCAGGATGCAATGAAATGTGAGATATTGCTATACTCTGCTAGCTTACCTTAGGTTCATAGGGATTCTTGTTTTCCAGTCATTAAAACTCCCAGAAAGTAAGACTTCTCTGCCACCATTCTCCCAGGTAAACACTGTTGGTACTGTTCTTTTTTGTGGTGGCTCCCCTTCCATAGAGTCATCATCATAGTCATAATCACTATGATCATCAATTTCTGGTTCCCTTGCTAAATAAACCACAGATTGAAATAAAAACTGGTTCAGTACTGTTCACATTTAGACTGTGAGCAGTCTCTTTCTCTCCCTAGTGAGTGATGACCAATTAAATGGCAATTATCAAATGCACCACATGAGAAGTGTCTTCGCTTAGCTAATTTTGCATGTCGCAATGAACATTACATACGTGTACCCACACTTAACTACTATTACCTCTTCGTAATGAAGCAACTGCTAATCAGAAACGCTTTTACATCTAGTACTTTTTGAAACAATCTCAGACATCTTGACACTGGACTCTGTGTTAAGTAATATAAGGCAATTTCTCATAGGACCTGGCATGCATATTAATCATTCTACATAATGTACACAACAGATGGCATGCATACTTCATGTAAATAATTTTAAAATATATTAAAGAAAGCAATTTAAGCCAGCCTTGTATTTTAATTTGTTGTTTCGATCTAAGCACCTAGCCTAACCCTTTGGAATGCCAGTCTACATGTAGCTTCATACTAAAATATGCCTTAATTACAAGGTTTGCCTTTGAATAGCTCTCCCAAGAAATTCCATTGACCTTTCTTTTGGATGGGTTTGGATATGAATGGGAATCATGCATACATAACACGCACCTGATAAAATCATCTTAGCTTCTTGCTCACTGGGGAACATTTTCTTGCCAGTTTCAAATTCTAAAGTAGAATCTGAGTTGTGCACATCTTTATGCTTCCCTAGTCCTGTATTTCCCATTGTTTGTTTGTTTACTCACAGCACCTCTATCATAATCGTCAAGCTGTAAAAAGCACAGTATGCAGTACTCTCAGAAATGTGTTTAGCCACACATTATGTAAACAAAAAATATCATCAAATATGTATGTTGCAATTCAAAATGAAATTCAGATTAAAATAAAATTCCTTTGTCTCTTAACCCTAATTATTCATGGCTCAAATTATTGAATAATTAGGGTTAGAAGACAAAGGAAACTGAGAATCAAACTAGGTTGAAATCATTTTAACCTGAATTTCATTTTGACCTGCAACATACAGTCAAACCCCATGTGGACAACATACTAACAAGGTATCCATACTAAAAAGAAAATATGTGAACAAAGGACCAATGACATACCACTCTTACTATGACCCTGCTAGAACAATCAGGTCTATAGAAAAACAGTGTAAGCTGGCATTTACATATAGGACCAGGCTTTCAACCAGAAATTTGAAAAGTGCCAGTGTACAAAATGTGCTATAAGGTCTACTCAAACAAACAATTATTTATAAATTGACATGTGAAAAATACAACAATTTTCTTTTCGAAAGTAGGAATCCACAGGATGCCTGAATGATTTGGTGGCTAATTAAGCCTGCATAGGACCAGAAAAATTGACTTGAGTTAATCTAGAAAAAGCAATCCAACCCCGTAAACATTTTAACAATACTATTTATCTAGCATGTGCAATTCAGAACATTCACAGAGACATTCTCACAACGTTCTCAGGTGAAATAAACCTCAACAAAAGCGAGCACTACATATTATGTACATGTGCATGATAAAAGTTAGGTTGGGCTGAATGCAAAAATGTTTGGTTGCTAATTATCCTAATTTTGTACTGACAGTCTACATGCCATGACCTAAACCTTGGAAAAAACAATCTTCCAGGCCACACACTCAGTTGTTAAGCTCACAGTGAGTGCCTTCTTCCAATAAGTGTCCCATAGACTACACAAATTAGATGTCTGGCCATCAACTATGCTTTCTCGTCTGAACATAATAAATATGAACAAACATGTACGTGTACTCTCTTGAGATAAACACAAACATGATGGTAACCCTTCTGGCCCAGACAGTGCAGGGTCCAAAGAAAACCAGTCACTGTGTTGAACTGTGATGACTACTACGCTGTAGCCCGAAAGTCATTCTTGCTTGCCCCAAAATAATTCTTTCCTAATAAGATTAATTAATTTTAAATTAAACCAACACTTCTGTAATTTGAATTGCCTCAAAAATTTCTACTTCAGTTGCCTGTCAGGCAGGCAAAGAACAGAATCTGCTACCTAGCCTGATCCCGCACGACCAGGTTATCAGAGAAAACTTTCTTTGCACACAGCAGTGTGAAATAGATTTCCAAAATTATATAAATTACCAGCCTTGATTGACTAGAACATCTTCTTACAAGGCTTGCAGCGTTTTACTGTATACAGTATTAACACTTTCAAATGGTGTTGTGTTATGTACAACCGTTAAATACACAGTTATCAAATTCGCCTCCTTTCTAACCTGTTTCTAACACACCACTAGACACTTGAAACATTTTAAACTGCAGAGTAATTAATCTTTCCGATCAGCTGCATAATTAGTCTAGGAAATCAAGTTTAATTTTAGCTTCTTAACTGATATTCTAAAGCTTTTGAATGTTTATAGCTTGTCGATCAGGTTAAGAAAAACTGTTGCACGGTGTACCACAGCAAAAAAACTTTTTCAAAGCAAAGGAGTCAAAAGTCTTTCTTTTCCTACATACTTCATCACCTCCACCAAAATAGTTTTGAAATGCAACGATTAGTACGAGGGTTTGCGCGGTCAAAAATGATTATTTACTTTTAGTAACGGCCATGCACAATTCAATAGGCTCTGTTGAAAGTCGAGAGGATTTCAGGAAATGTAAAACTTCACATGTTCATTACTCGCTCTATAAAACCTTAAGCAAAGACAGAGAAATAAGAGAAATCTCTAGGACCTTACAATAATAGCAGAACTTTTTATAGCCGTATAGTTACCTGTGACTTTCCTTGAGCACGAAACCATCACAAAACACGAAATTATTTTTAGCCCCTGTTCCCGCACGCGATGATGGGATAGAAGAGCCCAGTACTCCGTCCGCGTGGCCGTCAGGCTGTTGTAACGCGTATTTCCTGACTCGCCCAAAAGACGTTTCGTTTGCGCACCACGAGTTACGGAAGGAACTGTAATATTATCAAAGAAAATGCCAAGAAAAAGGTGCTTTCACATAATATTTCTCTTGTTGCTGTGTTTCATCAATCAAGGTGAGGAGTTTAGGAGAGGATGTAGGAATTTTTATCAGCATATAAAAAATGGCATAACACTGCATTATTCTGGAAAGTGAAACCAAATTGTTGTTATATCTTCGTGTAGGATTGATCGTATATTTTTTGTCTTTTGTGTTACGTCAACTTTGCCGGGTACAAAGGGTGGCGATCGTCCTTCGAACAATTACCGTTTCGTAGAATTCTTGTCAAATTTTATGGGCCGCATAGTCTCGATTTTATTGACTTTATTGGCAAAGCAGTGTACAACTCCTACTATGACATATACATGTGGGGGAAACAAATCGTTGCTCTATCCAGCTGCATGGATTTCATAGTCTTTCTGTTCAAGTTTCTAATCACGATATACCGGCGAGCAGCTGGTGTCTCAGGAGAGACAACTGCTCGCAGGGTAATCACGATAGTGATCAAAATCTAAAACAGAAATAAAGGCGGAAGTTCCCCTCGCGGGAACTTAAACAGCTTAAAAGATCCGACAAAGACAACTTTCAGGGAATTTCGATTATCGCATGAATAATGTCATGAGTTTTAGTATTTACCGTGAGTCTAGGACTGAAAACATTTCGTGAAGAGAAAATGTATGCTTCCAATCCAAAATAACACAATCTATGTTCATATAACAGATGTCGTAAGATCCGCAGCCGAGCGAGGCTGTTGTTTGTTGGGAAGACGTCACGCAATCAGTTAAATGATAACTATAATGACCCTATCATAACAAGTGTTCAAACACACTTAACGAAGATTATCGCTGATTTAATACGTATCAGTTTATGCAAGTAAAATAAATGTAAAAAACGAAGCAAAAAATAATGTCCAATGTTCAACTTAAACGCTTAAACGCTTGAATTTCACTGGTGCCCCAACTGTTCTGGTACGGATTTTTTCCAGTGGTAGACTGGTGTAGACTGGTGTAGACTTCTTATGATGGTACTGGTCAGTGCTGTTTGGCTTCCTGTCTGTGCAGGTACATGTGTGGGTGACTTCCCTGAAGCAACGACAGCCTTATATCCTTCTTTTGTGTGACGTACGGGGGCCTCAATGCCTCTCTGTTTCAGCCTAGTGTATTTCCGTATTGACTTCTACCAGATATGAGCGATCCGATAGCTTTTGAACACGGGCAGGAGGTACCGGCTTCCCAGATTTTGTTTCGCCGTTCGGCTACTCTAACTTCTTTCTGTTTCAAACTCTGGTAGTTCCTTGGCATGGGAGGCGCGGTATCACGATGGTTAGTGCACTCAACTCCACATTGAGCNCCTCTGGAAATTCTGATTGAGCTTCATACATTTCTTTAAATTTTTTGGTCTTACAGGATCCCCCACCCCCCAGGAAATTCCATTCCCTTCTGTGGGGGAATTATCGATATTTTCTAGAACTGAATAATCTGTATTATAAAGACAACTTTAAGATGTCCATTAATTGATGATCCACATTGATACAAGAAGTCTTAAAGGAGAAGTCTATAACTTAAGGTTGTCTATACTTACTGATCGAGCCAGCAGAACCAATACTGGCAGTAGCATCAGACTCCAGAGCTTGAAACACTTCAAAGTCAGACTTCTTTACATTAATGACATTGTTTCTGCCCCCAAAATTGTCGTTTGTGGTTGGCTGTTAGGAACAATACAACATTTTAGTTTCTGAATGATTTTTTTCACATCAGAATTTAACTGATTGATAACCCTTTATTTGCAGAACATGTACTTTCAGTGATATCAATCTTTAACTGATAATAATATTATCTGGTCAAAAGTAACAAATAAAAAAGAGAATAATAGTGTAGCAATCTTTGGCAAGGTGCTCTGCAAGGAAAATAGAAAATTCTGCAATTGAAAAGGCAAAGTTCTACTAACAATACAAAGGAAAGTCTTGAAAATATATCCTAGGTGAACTTTTTTTTTTACCATCTACAAGTTTTTCATCTCAAAGTTTCATTACAAAAATTGTTAGTCTTTTAATCAGAATATCCCAATGTTGCTGAGTGAATATAATGAATGGTATACTACGTGCAAAATACTACAATAAAGTTTGTTTTTCTTCAGTCAATCCATGCAATTCTTATAATATGTTTGTAAGTAGTATGAGTGTAGTATTAGAACTACATGTAGCTGGCAATGTGGACTGATCTGGGGATGTCATTAGAAACAGCACCGTGAAAAAAACAACTGTACAGTATTTTATGTACATCAAAAGACTCCCATATCTTGGCTGGTTTGTTGCAATGTTGTACGTGTATCAGCTGGTTTGACTTACTCACAATAAGGTTAAAAGCAAGAATACCAAATATTGACTGATTGGGATAAACTCTAGGATGACATCACATGTATAATTATTTCTGTTTATAAATAGTACTTACAGCATTTGGGTCATGAATCCAGCGGCCATCAACACAAAACTTGTACTCATGCTCGCCTTCAGGCAGCTCAATTATTGTTGAGAATTCCCCTTGGCTAGGCAAACAAAAAAATCATTGTACAGTATTCCACTTAATAAAGAATGTAATATTCAACTAATGAATAAAATTGAAGTTTAAATTAGGACTATGCATGTAGCAAAGACAAGATTTTTCAATTGGTTTCATTGATCCTGACTCTCACAACTTTTTCAGTGAACTGGAACCAAGCTTAGCAAATGTAAACTACCGGTAGTTCATTTGATTGAATTGGATTGAACTTTTGTAATTTCTGGCACTTTTCCAACCATTTGTGATTGAACAGTTAGACCAGTGTTTAACAAACCTTCCAGTACCAGGCAAACAAACCATATTCACTGTTTTCAGTACCGGTAGTTGTGGTTGAAATGGCTGGGTCCAACACAACAACAAACTTCATGTACTGCTAACACATTAACCACAAAATTATGCTAATAAGTTTGTTTCTTAAATTGGTAATACCTCACATGCAATTTAACTTTAGAATCATTTGATTATAGAGTGACTGTCAACAAAAGATCAAAGTTCCAAGGCTAGATCTCTGTTAATGGCTTTGTCATCAGAATGTCAGGATGCAATGAAATGTGAGATATTGCTATACTCTGCTAGCTTACCTTAGGTTCATAGGGATTCTTGTTTTCCAGTCATTAAAACTCCCAGAAAGTAAGACTTCTCTGCCACCATTCTCCCAGGTAAACACTGTTGGTACTGTTCTTTTTTGTGGTGGCTCCCCTTCCATAGAGTCATCATCATAGTCATAATCACTATGATCATCAATTTCTGGTTCCCTTGCTAAATAAACCACAGATTGAAATAAAAACTGGTTCAGTACTGTTCACATTTAGACTGTGAGCAGTCTCTTTCTCTCCCTAGTGAGTGATGACCAATTAAATGGCAATTATCAAATGCACCACATGAGAAGTGTCTTCGCTTAGCTAATTTTGCATGTCGCAATGAACATTACATACGTGTACCCACACTTAACTACTATTACCTCTTCGTAATGAAGCAACTGCTAATCAGAAACGCTTTTACATCTAGTACTTTTTGAAACAATCTCAGACATCTTGACACTGGACTCTGTGTTAAGTAATATAAGGCAATTTCTCATAGGACCTGGCATGCATATTAATCATTCTACATAATGTACACAACAGATGGCATGCATACTTCATGTAAATAATTTTAAAATATATTAAAGAAAGCAATTTAAGCCAGCCTTGTATTTTAATTTGTTGTTTCGATCTAAGCACCTAGCCTAACCCTTTGGAATGCCAGTCTACATGTAGCTTCATACTAAAATATGCCTTAATTACAAGGTTTGCCTTTGAATAGCTCTCCCAAGAAATTCCATTGACCTTTCTTTTGGATGGGTTTGGATATGAATGGGAATCATGCATACATAACACGCACCTGATAAAATCATCTTAGCTTCTTGCTCACTGGGGAACATTTTCTTGCCAGTTTCAAATTCTAAAGTAGAATCTGAGTTGTGCACATCTTTATGCTTCCCTAGTCCTGTATTTCCCATTGTTTGTTTGTTTACTCACAGCACCTCTATCATAATCGTCAAGCTGTAAAAAGCACAGTATGCAGTACTCTCAGAAATGTGTTTAGCCACACATTATGTAAACAAAAAATATCATCAAATATGTATGTTGCAATTCAAAATGAAATTCAGATTAAAATAAAATTCCTTTGTCTCTTAACCCTAATTATTCATGGCTCAAATTATTGAATAATTAGGGTTAGAAGACAAAGGAAACTGAGAATCAAACTAGGTTGAAATCATTTTAACCTGAATTTCATTTTGACCTGCAACATACAGTCAAACCCCATGTGGACAACATACTAACAAGGTATCCATACTAAAAAGAAAATATGTGAACAAAGGACCAATGACATACCACTCTTACTATGACCCTGCTAGAACAATCAGGTCTATAGAAAAACAGTGTAAGCTGGCATTTACATATAGGACCAGGCTTTCAACCAGAAATTTGAAAAGTGCCAGTGTACAAAATGTGCTATAAGGTCTACTCAAACAAACAATTATTTATAAATTGACATGTGAAAAATACAACAATTTTCTTTTCGAAAGTAGGAATCCACAGGATGCCTGAATGATTTGGTGGCTAATTAAGCCTGCATAGGACCAGAAAAATTGACTTGAGTTAATCTAGAAAAAGCAATCCAACCCCGTAAACATTTTAACAATACTATTTATCTAGCATGTGCAATTCAGAACATTCACAGAGACATTCTCACAACGTTCTCAGGTGAAATAAACCTCAACAAAAGCGAGCACTACATATTATGTACATGTGCATGATAAAAGTTAGGTTGGGCTGAATGCAAAAATGTTTGGTTGCTAATTATCCTAATTTTGTACTGACAGTCTACATGCCATGACCTAAACCTTGGAAAAAACAATCTTCCAGGCCACACACTCAGTTGTTAAGCTCACAGTGAGTGCCTTCTTCCAATAAGTGTCCCATAGACTACACAAATTAGATGTCTGGCCATCAACTATGCTTTCTCGTCTGAACATAATAAATATGAACAAACATGTACGTGTACTCTCTTGAGATAAACACAAACATGATGGTAACCCTTCTGGCCCAGACAGTGCAGGGTCCAAAGAAAACCAGTCACTGTGTTGAACTGTGATGACTACTACGCTGTAGCCCGAAAGTCATTCTTGCTTGCCCCAAAATAATTCTTTCCTAATAAGATTAATTAATTTTAAATTAAACCAACACTTCTGTAATTTGAATTGCCTCAAAAATTTCTACTTCAGTTGCCTGTCAGGCAGGCAAAGAACAGAATCTGCTACCTAGCCTGATCCCGCACGACCAGGTTATCAGAGAAAACTTTCTTTGCACACAGCAGTGTGAAATAGATTTCCAAAATTATATAAATTACCAGCCTTGATTGACTAGAACATCTTCTTACAAGGCTTGCAGCGTTTTACTGTATACAGTATTAACACTTTCAAATGGTGTTGTGATATGTACAACCGTTAAATACACAGTTATCAAATTCGCCTCCTTTCTAACCTGTTTCTAACACACCACTAGACACTTGAAACATTTTAAACTGCAGAGTAATTAATCTTTCCGATCAGCTGCATAATTAGTCTAGGAAATCAAGTTTAATTTTAGCTTCTTAACTGATATTCTAAAGCTTTTGAATGTTTATAGCTTGTCGATCAGGTTAAGAAAAACTGTTGCACGGTGTACCACAGCAAAAAAACTTTTTCAAAGCAAAGGAGTCAAAAGTCTTTCTTTTCCTACATACTTCATCACCTCCACCAAAATAGTTTTGAAATGCAACGATTAGTACGAGGGTTTGCGCGGTCAAAAATGATTATTTACTTTTAGTAACGGCCATGCACAATTCAATAGGCTCTGTTGAAAGTCGAGAGGATTTCAGGAAATGTAAAACTTCACATGTTCATTACTCGCTCTATAAAACCTTAAGCAAAGACAGAGAAATAAGAGAAATCTCTAGGACCTTACAATAATAGCAGAACTTTTTATAGCCGTATAGTTACCTGTGACTTTCCTTGAGCACGAAACCATCACAAAACACGAAATTATTTTTAGCCCCTGTTCCCGCACGCGATGATGGGATAGAAGAGCCCAGTACTCCGTCCGCGTGGCCGTCAGGCTGTTGTAACGCGTATTTCCTGACTCGCCCAAAAGACGTTTCGTTTGCGCACCACGAGTTACGGAAGGAACTGTAATATTATCAAAGAAAATGCCAAGAAAAAGGTGCTTTCACATAATATTTCTCTTGTTGCTGTGTTTCATCAATCAAGGTGAGGAGTTTAGGAGAGGATGTAGGAATTTTTATCAGCATATAAAAAATGGCATAACACTGCATTATTCTGGAAAGTGAAACCAAATTGTTGTTATATCTTCGTGTAGGATTGATCGTATATTTTTTGTCTTTTGTGTTACGTCAACTTTGCCGGGTACAAAGGGTGGCGATCGTCCTTCGAACAATTACCGTTTCGTAGAATTCTTGTCAAATTTTATGGGCCGCATAGTCTCGATTTTATTGACTTTATTGGCAAAGCAGTGTACAACTCCTACTATGACATATACATGTGGGGGAAACAAATCGTTGCTCTATCCAGCTGCATGGATTTCATAGTCTTTCTGTTCAAGTTTCTAATCACGATATACCGGCGAGCAGCTGGTGTCTCAGGAGAGACAACTGCTCGCAGGGTAATCACGATAGTGATCAAAATCTAAAACAGAAATAAAGGCGGAAGTTCCCCTCGCGGGAACTTAAACAGCTTAAAAGATCCGACAAAGACAACTTTCAGGGAATTTCGATTATCGCATGAATAATGTCATGAGTTTTAGTATTTACCGTGAGTCTAGGACTGAAAACATTTCGTGAAGAGAAAATGTATGCTTCCAATCCAAAATAACACAATCTATGTTCATATAACAGATGTCGTAAGATCCGCAGCCGAGCGAGGCTGTTGTTTGTTGGGAAGACGTCACGCAATCAGTTAAATGATAACTATAATGACCCTATCATAACAAGTGTTCAAACACACTTAACGAAGATTATCGCTGATTTAATACGTATCAGTTTATGCAAGTAAAATAAATGTAAAAAACGAAGCAAAAAATAATGTCCAATGTTCAACTTAAACGCTTAAACGCTTGAATTTCACTGGTGCCCCAACTGTTCTGGTACGGATTTTTTCCAGTGGTAGACTGGTGTAGACTGGTGTAGACTTCTTATGATGGTACTGGTCAGTGCTGTTTGGCTTCCTGTCTGTGCAGGTACATGTGTGGGTGACTTCCCTGAAGCAACGACAGCCTTATATCCTTCTTTTGTGTGACGTACGGGGGCCTCAATGCCTCTCTGTTTCAGCCTAGTGTATTTCCGTATTGACTTCTACCAGATATGAGCGATCCGATAGCTTTTGAACACGGGCAGGAGGTACCGGCTTCCCAGATTTTGTTTCGCCGTTCGGCTACTCTAACTTCTTTCTGTTTCAAACTCTGGTAGTTCCTTGGCATGGGAGGCGCGGTATCACGATGGTTAGTGCACTCAACTCCACATTGAGCGGTCCGGGCTCGAGCAATGGCCGGGAACATTGTGTTGTGTTCTTGGGCAGGACGCTTTACTTTCACAGTGCCTCTCTCCACCCAGGTGTATAAATGGCTACCAGCAAACTTAATGCTGCGGGTAACCCTGCGATGGACCAGCATGCCATCCATGGGGAGTAGAAAATATAATTTCTGACGATTGAGGGACGAATTAGTCGGAAATTGTTATTCTGACGGCACGTTGGAGAGACTCGCGGTGCATCACGGGATGGTTAGGGACTATTTAACGTTTTGGCGGGAGATTTAAGTCATTCTAGGTCGGTCAATCGTTGTGTTCGCCCACTTTATTTTTTAGGATTATTTTTCGATTTGATCAACTTGTGTGAATAATTGTAGAATACCCTTTCCTCGGGGTCTCGTGCTGCTTCATTAGATGAAGAATACGTTTCCACATATTTTTTGGTCACATATAAAGGGTGGTTTTTTACTGGTTTTTCGTATCTGGCGTAAAACGGGTTCTAATTCTTAGAACCAATAGTTACATTTTTGAGGTAAACATTAGGATACATTGAATCTGATGGCTGACTGACGCATCCTCAATAAACTTTTCACATCGAGTGTTTCGTGTATGTGAGTGTAGTCAGAATTACTCGTAGTCGCTTCATGCTACAGAAACTGGGATAAGCTCCGGCCTGATGGGCCACTTGGCTCGTATGCAGACTTAAATATAACCTATACTAGTCAGGCCTTGGCACTTCTATCCTGATTGCTCTTGTCCATTTGCCCCTTGGCCATCAATTTCTCCTTATGGCACCTTCTCCTTGTCTGGGATACAGAAGATTTACTGACATGGGTAACAGCGTCTAGCGTGCGTGTTGTTCGTGACATCAGTCTCTGTACTGGACTAGAGTTTAAACGCTGTGTTGGTGTTTTCCGTTGATCTAACAATGCCAGCCAACCGCCAGCTACGCAGTCTACCGTGCGCTTTCTTGAAAATCTTCTGTACTACACTTACTGCAGCTTCGGTCTTGCCATTGGATTTGGCATGTCTGGGTGATGACGTCACGTGCTTGAAATGCCATTCTCTAGAACATTCTATGAACTCTCAGCAGGACCGTTGTCGGTGACTGCTCTCTTAGGAACTCTACGATGTAGATCGCAGTTGCGCCAACATCTTTAACATCTGAGTAGCTTTCTGAAAGCAAAATGTATTCCTTGGGATTCAGGGGGAACAAGATCTGCACATATCTTCCTCAAACGCCTTGCTGTGTTGCTCGGACCATACAAATTGGCCATGGTCAGGTCTCTCAGGACTGTACCACTTCAGATAGCCTTGGCATGGTGGAAATTTGGTCAGATAATCGCTAAAACCGAGTAGACTCAGAGTCTTGCATGTGAGCTTGGGCATGTCTTTCACCGCATAGACTTTGCCCAAATCTGCCTCGAGACCTGATCCTTGCTGATAACATGGCCCATGAACCTAACTTGTGTAGTTTTCTGAGATTTTCATCATGGCTAGCATCTGCTTCCTCCTTAGTGTCTCCATGTCCAATTTCAATTTCCCTAGATCGGCAAGTTTCTTGCGCAGCTTACACGCAAATTGTTTCCGTGTACTGATCTTAAAGGTGGATACACCTCAAGGTTTCACGAGTGAACCATGGAGCAAGTTAAGCCTCAACTAGCTGCTTCTCAGCGGTGGATCTCCTGTTTGGTTTATATGAGGCTAGATCGCGGAGACTCATCATGTTGTAAATGGCGCCGGTGTCTAACTGATATTCTAACTAGAAGTGGTATAACTTTTCTATGTCAGAGAAGATTATCAGTGGCGTTGAATTGCTTGCCTGGTGTTTTCACACTGGAGTCTTGTTCGATATGGAAGAGCGGATCTTCATTATCGGTCACTTCATCTTCAGATGTATCTGTTTCTTCTGTGACTTGTTGCACTCATTTATGCCCTTTTCGCGCTGTCCTCTCTCGTGCTGGCTTATTTTATATCGTGACAAACATGCAAAATGATTTTGCTTCGAGCAAACGAGACATTTTTGGCCATACGCTTCACAGTTCGTCTTTCCTGTGTTTCTTGTGGTCGATCCACCACGTCTGCTGGAATTCTTCTTCGCGTCCTTCGTTTCCTTTTCGTCCTTTGTACCTTCCTTTTTTTCGCGTTATAATTATTTGTTTGTTCGTTGCCCGCAGCGTTGACTTGCTCGTCCGTTGGGGTCTGATCCTGTTTCATGGAATCGAGCTGTTTGGTTGCGGCCTCATTCGACCTGTAGATATTAAGTGTCTTATCCAGGTTCAATTCCTCTTCTTTGAGTAGTCGCAGTATTGGAGCTTTGTCTCGGATCCCAGTTACGATCCCATATCTTATCATCTCGGTGATCTTCACTATTTACCGCCGTACTACAGCCCAGCCGTACCATATCTTAAAGTCCCTAATCTTTCCACTCCTGCGTAAAAAGATGCCAGTTTTTGACTGGAGAAACTGTAGAGATTTTGGAAGAATACCGTTGCATAACTCAGGACCTCCTGAAACTGAATCTTGAGCTAAAACTCACCAAATTTGAAATCTGTTTGCCAAAAAAAAAAATGTTAAGTTACGTGACCAAACAACTGTCCAAACAAATGACGCAATTTTAGTTGAACTCCGTTAACATTGAAGAGTTGTCACAAAGTTTTGCAGTTACTGTTTGAGAGTAATTTAAGTACTGAATAAGTTTCAAATTAGCTCTGACACTATGCTGTAATATATCAAACACGAAAGACCGTGTTTGACCATATTTCGAAACAGCGAAAAGGGAATTGAAAATACGAGGCGCAGCGCGGTATTTTTGACGAACTTCGTGGCGTTTGGAAAGGTGGTCAAACACTGTATTGAGTGTTTGATATATCTTCTCAATCGAAACTAAAACTAACGAGAAAATGGAGAAATAAAATCGTAAAAATCTATACCAATTAAGATCAGATATCAAAACACCGTCACGGCCAGGATTTCCTTTGTTTAAACTTGATGAATTATTGTTGAGTTTGAGAAGGGCACTTCATACATTATCAGTTTGGAAGTTTGCATAAATTGTAAATAATTTGTAAGTTTAGAAGACAAAATAGCTACCCTGACAAAGTCTTATCATGTAACATAGACAATATCTGTGTTTTACCAATCCTTACAGCCTCTGTTTCTAGAGAAACAGACTGGTACATTTCCCGTGAATCAGGTAACGACAGTTGGCCATGTGATAGAACAAAACCATGCAAACACATTTGGAAGGCGGTCACCATGGCGTCCAGCAGGGACTACATTTACGTGGACGGCACAAACACTGACAACGATCCCTACACCTGCCAATCAGAAACTCCACCTCATCCGGGAATTTACATCAACAAGAGCCTCTCTCTGGTAGGATTCGGTCCCAAGCCTCCTCACATACGATGCTCTGAGGGTTTGACGTTTGATGGTTCTGATGATGCGCAGCAGATGCATATCACCTTATCAGGTCTGTTCCTGGACGAGGGCTTGGTGTATTTTCAGGATTCGTCTGTTAACATCGACAGATGCAAATTTGAAGGAAGCAAACATGGTGTGCAGTTCTTAATTACCACGAAGATGGTTTCAAACATTCAAATTACAAATTCAGTCTTTGTTAAGAATAGTGAGTGTGTCTCAGTTGTTATCAACAAAACAATCAACCTATCAGAGGCTGTCCACGTAGTTTTCACAGTGAAACATTCCTCTTTTCATGGCAATGTCATAACAGATCAGGGAAGCTGTGTGTCTTTCCATGAATCATCTGATAATAAACATTCTGTAAGTCTTAACATCACGCTGGAAAATGTCACGTTTATCCACAACAATTTCAGTACGAAAGGTCTTGTTTTTTTAGATATGGAAAATGCCACCCAGGATATTCACTTTCAGAATGTGACGTTTATGAGCAACAATGCCATATCAGACCGAGATGTTTCTTCGGGCTACGGTCATAGTGAATGTATTGTTCACAGCAGCATTGTAAGTGTTTTTGTTAATGCAAGCAGCTTCACAGGTCAGCAAGCTCGATCATTCAACGTAAGCGCAAGAAAAATTTCATTACAGATTAATAACTCTAGTTTTCGTGGTCACGAAGACGAAGGAAATGGCGGAGCCATTTACCTGAGAGGAAGCGTCCATTGTGTACTTAAAGTTTCGGAGTCAAATTTTACTAACGCTTACGGTTCTTCGGGGGGTGGTGCTGTCTTCATTACGGCTCTCACTGCATCAGTACAACTGCATCATACTACTTTTTCCAACTGCACATCTTTAGGAACAGGGGGTGTATTCATTCATACGATGTCACGGGAAATGAGTGCAGGATATGCTTTGCATTTGATTGTAGACAATTCCCGTTTTGTGGGTTGTAGATCGAATGATATCGGTGGACCCATAAGTGTCCTGTATGAAAGCCAAGTCAATATAAGCATCAGCAGCAGCCATTTTATTTCCAATTATGCTGCAACAGGAGGAGCTATAAGTCTTTCACCGATTAGAAAAGGTGATAAAGACTGGAAGAGCAAGCCCAGCCAAGTAACAATACAAAACTCAACATTTTTCAACAACAGTGCAATAACTGGCGGTGCAATATATTTGGTAGCAAATAATCAAAGTACTCTAATCCTTGAAAATGTCATCATGGAGTCAAATAGAGCGGAGGGGACTGGAGGCGCAGCTTGGATCAGCCCACTTTTTGCGTTCAAAATACTCCATTCCCGATTTTTGAAGAATATTGCTCAGGAAACTGCTGGAGCGATCATAGTTAGGGATGTAAACACACTTGAAATAAAGGATTCACTCTTTGACGGGAATATCACTGGGGATTTTGTGGAGTTTGGTGGAGCCCTATTTATCAGTTGTGGCGTAATCACCACGCTTATTATAATCACGAACACGACATTCAAGAATTGTTCAGCTAAACAACATGGGGGTGCTATATACCTTATCCATTATGGTAATGTCAGTCTGGTGATAAGAAGGTCTCGTTTTGTGGAGAATCTATCATTACAAACAACTGGAGGGGCACTGTCAATACAATTACCTCAAGACAATGATAAAAATCCAGGATGTGTCCCTCAAAAAGTTAAATTAGCCAGTCGGAGAAATGACGATGATCATGATGAAGAATTTGCTTCATTGGTTTCCAAAAATCACCTGAGTTTTCAAGATACCACGTTTGAGAGGAATGCTGGGGTTGTCGGTGGTGCTGTGTATCTATCGAATGGAAAAGCGACATTTATAAATTGTTCCTTTACCGATAACTTTGCTTCATCTCAAGGTGGCCATATATACACAGTACAGGGATCCGCGAGTCTTATCATACAAGGAAGCCTTTTCCAGCAAACCATGAAAACATTGCAGCTATTCACAATGAACTACTCCAAGGCTTCGTTTTTTCATGTAGAAAGTTCAGGACCATTTAAAGTATACAACACGACAATGAATGTCAGAGCATACGGTGTTAAAAATCCACTCATGTTAGTAGCAAACGGTAGAGTGATAGACCTTGGAGATGACAGTCTCACAAAGTTTTATTGCCCAGTTGGAAGTGAGATGGAAATTCTTCGTTTTACTCAAGAATTCACGACTCAGGTTAACAACACACCATGTAAAATTAAAATCACCACACTTGAACTTAGCTGTTCGCCATGTGAAGGGAACTCCTACAGCCTACAGCGCGGCTATGCGCTAGGCTCCAGGTTAGCGGCAGGATTTCAATGTCTTCCATGCCCGTTTGGAGCGAATTGTACACAAAATATTTTAGCCAAGCGTAACTTTTGGGGTTATAAAGAACAGAAAAATCCACTATCGCTTCATTTTATCATGTGCCCTGCGGGTTATTGTAGTCCTCCTCAAGAAGCGAACTTTCCAGAATACAATGGTTGTCAGGGCAACCGTTCTGGCGAATTATGTGGACGCTGTGATGATGGCTACACGGAGACACTTTACTCTACAAAGTGCAGACCATCGCATCAGTGCAAAGATTATTGGTTCTGGCCAGTAGCTTTATTTTATGTATCGTTCATGGCATTGTACTTCATATTTACGCCTCCTATTGTCCCCTGGATCAAGCGCCAAACCTTGTGGTTCAAAGAANGTGGGTTACTGCGATCCACCCGACGTAGTTAACTTTCCAAAATTCAATGGCTGTCAAAACAACCGTTCTGGTGAATTGTGTGGACGCTGTAAAGAGGGCTACACGGAGACACTTTACTCTACAAACTGCAGACCATCACAACAGTGCAAAGATTACTGGTTCTGGCCTGTGGCTTTAATTTATGTGTCCCTCATGGCACTGTATTTCACATTAAAGCCTCCTATTGTCCCCTGGATCAAGCATCATATCCTGTGGTTCAAAGAAAACGAAACAACGGACCAACAAAATAACTTTGACAGAGGTTATCTGAAGATTCTCTTCTTCTTTTATCAAGCAGCAAATCTTTTTCTCATCTCCAACTCGTCACAATCTCTCATTAAAGCTAATCTTATTGAACCAATGGTCGGGTTATTCAACTTCACATTCTTATCTAATGGAATAAGTTGTCCCTATTCTGGCCTCACGGTGGTAACTAAGCAGTTCTTTTCTGCATCTCACGTTTTTTGCACAATGCTCGTGATCTGCATCTTTTATGTTTTGCATTGGGGAATTCAAAGGTTTCGAGGTGGAGGAGCCCCTTCCGTTGGCCCCTATGTTGGCGGTATCTTGCAAACCTTGTTGCTAGGGTACACAACTCTGGCCTCCGTTAGCTTTACCCTGCTACGCTGCGTTCCCATTAGCACAGACAGGCGTTTATTTTACGACGGTAACGTTGTTTGTTTTCAGTGGTGGCAATACCTTTTGATTGCATTTGTCTGCATATTTGTGATACCGTTTGTGTTCGTGCTCCTCTGGGGTTCTTATAAATTGCACGGTGGGACTCTTTCCGTAGGAAAGTTCCTCTTGGCCTGCGCTCTTCCATTGCCATCATTTATCTACTGGTCATTTCTCTCTTTGTTTGGGAAAAGGAGAAATCCAGTCGTTGAAGACCCGTCTCCACACCAAAGCGCAAGAAATTATGTGGAGATGGTCCTATACGCGTCCTTCAAAAGGCCTGAAGATGGCAAAATACTGTCTTTGAGCTGGGAAAGTGTTATGATCGGCCGCCGTTTGATTCTCATTATGCTGAAGGCTTTTGTCAGCGACCCATTACTGCGTCTTCTCATCATGACTCTTTTCGGCGTTCTGTTTCTCCTTCACCACGCCTTGACTCAGCCATTTCGTGATGCTATTGCCAACACAGTAGAAACCATTTCTTTGCTGTTTATTGTTGTCCTGGGGTTGTTGAATGTGTTTTTTGCATCTTTTCTGTCGTTGGCTGTTCCATTTGACGATCATTTCAGCACCTGGTGGAAGGTCTGTCAAGGAGTGGAAGTCGTTATTCTCTGTCTTGTACCTGGGGCGTTAGGGCTTCTTATAGTCACCGTTGTTTTATCCCAGCTCTGCCGGATAACTGTTGTGGTTTGCCGTTTTTTGTCAAACTTTTTTTGGATTTGCTTTCGTTTTTGTTATAGCAAGCAGGATGACGAGACAAGATCGCTACTGGCCCCAGTTAGCTAAACTGTTTTATCGCTTGCATGTGGTAACTGATTTCAAATACCAATTGCGTTTCCAATTCCATTTTCAATCTGTGCAGAAAACGCGTGATCTATC